CAGATGAATGTCCATTTTGTATCTGTGTATTCAAAGTGGTTACATTAGATATATAGTTACATTCTCTTAATGAATGGAGGGATTTGTTCTAATGGTGTTTGTAAATAGGATATCAAGTCTGCATCTTGTTAGCAATTAACCACTAGGAAGAATGTATGCAATGTGTTAATTATTGAAACTGTCCTACCAATTTGGTTTGAAACTATCTCATTGCTATTTGTTTCTCAATAAAATTATGGAAAAAATAAATAAAGTCAGCATTCTTATACACCAATAGCAAATCATCTGAACTAGAAATCAAGAAAGCAATACCATTTACAATAAAATAAAATTTCTAGGATTTAGTTTAATCAAAGAATTAAAAGATCTTTTACAATGAAAAGTGTAAAACATTGATGAAAGAAACTGAAGAAAATACATACCCCCACAAAAAAAACATACATCCCACCTTCATGGATTCCAAGAATCAATATTGTTAAAATGCTTATACTACCTAAAGCTATCTACTGATTCAATGCAATCCTTATCAAAATACCAATAAAATTCATTACAATATTTAAAAAAATCCTAAAATTTGTCTGCATCATAGAAAATTCAAGTAGCTAACATAATACTAAACAAAAAGAGCAATGCAGTATTGTACTACTGTACCTGATTTCAGAATGTACTACACACCTGTAGTCATCAGAACACCATGCCACCAGGTGTGATGGTGCCTGCTTGTAATCCCAGCACTCAGAAGGAAGAGGCTGGAGGATTACCCATGACACGTTTAAGGCCAGCCTAGAATAGTGAGTGTAAGGCTACCCAGAACAACATAGTGAGACCTTGTTTCAAAAAACTCAGTGTGGCTTTCCATACTGCCCAGGCAGGAGTCCATACGTCATTGTTCTTGACTTCCATTGTAACTTAAAGGGAAACTTCCCAATGTCTGGAGCCCTTGATGTCCTGCAAATGAAAGAGGAGGAAGTCATCAAGTTCCTTGCTGCAGGAACCCACTTAGGTGGAAATTCACCAACCTGAATTTCCAGATGGAGCAGTATATCTATAAAAGGAAAAGTGATGGAATCTACATCATAAATCTAAAGCAGACTTGGGAGAAACTCCTCCTGGCAGCTTGAGCCATAGTAGCCATTGAAAACCCTGCTGATGTCAGCGTCATATCTTCTAGGAACACAGCGGGCTGTGCTGAAGTTTGCTGCTGCCACTGGAGCTAGTCCTATCACTAGCCACTCCACTCCTAGAACCTTCACTAACCGGATCAAGGCAGCCTTCCGAGAGTCGCATCTTCTGGTGGTTACTGACCCCCAGGCTGACCACCAGCCCCTAACTGAGGCATCTTATGTCAATCTGCCAACCATTGCTCTGCACAACACAGATTCTCCTCTGCACTATGTGGTCATTGCCATCCCCTGCAACAATAAGAGCGCTCACTCAGTGGGTCTGATGTGGTGGATGCTTATCCCGGGAAGTGCTGCGCATGCGTGGCACCATCTCCCATGAACACCCATGGGAAGTCGTGCCTGATCTCTACTTCTACCAGGATACTGAAGAAATTGAAAAGGAAGAGCAAGCTACTGCTGAAAATGCTGAGACCAAGGAGGAATTTCAGGGTGAATGGACTGCACCAGCTCCAGAGTTCATTGCTGCTCAGCCTGAAGTCATAGACTGGTCCAAGGGCATGCAGGTGCCCGCTGTGCCCATTCAGCAGTTCCCTACTGAAGACAGGAGTGCTCAGCCAGCCACAGAAGATTGGTGTGCAGCCCCCACTGCGCAGGCCACTGAGTGGGTAGGAACCCCCACCAAGTAGTCTTGAGCTGTTCTGCCTGTGCTTAAGCAAAATGGGAATGAGGCTGATGAAAAATAAAACAATTTCTAAGAAACAAACAAACAAACAAAAAAACAAAAAAACCCCAGAAGGATACTGATATAAAAACAGACACACGGGCTGGCAAGATAGCACAGAGGACAAAAGCGCCTGCTTAGGCAAGCTTAGGCAAGCTTAGGCAGGAACAATGGTTCCGTTGGATCTGAGGCACCACAAGCCGCGCCAGCCCCACAGGGCAGGCTGAGCGGACCTCAGAGCCCAGGCTTGGTGGTGCATGCCTATAATCCCAGCACTGGGGAGGCTGAAAGCTCTGCGTAGTGAGACCCTGTAACAACCAAATTATATATATATAGTGAGACCCTGTAACAACCAAATTATATATATATATATATGACACACAGACCAATGAAACAGAATGAAGAGCCTAAGAGTAAACCTTTGCATCTGCAACCCACTGATGCTCAACAAGTGTTAATACTCACTGAAGTCTCTTTAATCAGTGATGCTGAAACAACTGGCTATTTCCATGCAAGGAAACTAAACCACTATCTCTCACCAATTATGAAGCCAATCCAGAATGAAGACTTATATTTAACACTGAAGCTATAAAAACACCAGAGAACATATACTGGCAGTAGTTTAGGATATTGGCAAAGACTTTTGGATAAGGCCTCAAAAAGTGCAAGAAACAAAAGTTAAAGTAGGCAAGTGGGACTATATCAAACTAATTGTTCAGTAAACAACAGAGTGCAGAAACAACCTACATAGGAAAACATTTGCAAATTATACTCTTTTGTTTAAAAACAAAAGGCATGAAAAGATGAGAATAAAGGACACATTCAAGTGCACAATGCTCAAGGAAACGAGGCACCACAAACTATACTTTTGACAAGGGGTTGGTATCCAGTGTATGTAAGGAGCCCAACCCCCCAAAAAATAATTTTTAATAGGCAATAGACCTGAACAGACATTTCTCAAAAGATATATAAATGGCTAACAAGATATGAAAAAATGCTCAACATCACCCATCAGGGAAAAAAATCAGAGACACAATTAGATACCAGCAAGAATAAAGATATTATCACTATTATCAACAAGACTAAAGTGCTGGCAAAGATGTGCAATAAAGGGAACTTATGGAAACTGTTAGTGGGAATGTAATTTAGTACAGCCATCATGGAAAAATTATGACAGTTCCTCAAAAAGTTAAAACTAGGGCTGGGGAGATGGCTCAGTGGAATAAGCACTTCCCTGGCAAGTGCAAGGGCCTGAGTTCAATCCCTTGTTCCACCAAAAAAAAAAAAAAAAAAAAAAAGAAGTTAAACTACCATGTGATCTAGCAATTCCATTACTTAGTGTATACTCAAAGGAATTTAAATTAACTGGACATGGTGGCATACGTCCTGAGCTCCCAGCTACATGGGAATAGGATTATTTGAACCCAGAAGTTTTAAGCCATTCTGGGTAGCACAGTAAGAAGAGAAGAATGCAGGAAGGAAAGGAGGGAAGAAGGGAGGGAGCAAGGGAAGTAGGGAGGAAGGAAAGGAGGGAAGGAGGGAGGGAGGGGTGAGAGAGGAAAAAGGGAGAGAGAGAGAGCAAGAGAGAGACAGAGAAAAGGAAATAAATCAGTATTGGACATCTGCACTCTCATGTTTATTGCAGCAGTATTCACAATAGCCAAGAAACAGAAATAACTGATGATGGATAAAGAAATTGTGGTATATGTACACAACAAAATATTCATCCATAAAAAATGAGATCTTGTTATTTGTGACAACATGGATAGAACCAGTGATCATGCTCAATAAACCAGGCACAGAAAGCCAGGTACTGCATGAGCTCACTTGTACATGGAAGGTAAGTTTATTTCATAGACAATGAGAGTAAAATGGTGATTACTGGCAGAGGCTAGGGACAAAAGCAGGGAAGGATAGATGAGGAGACTGATTAATGCTATTAATTAGGAGTAGTAAGGAGTTCTGTCTGGTGCACTACTGCACTGCAGAGTAGCTACAGACAATAATGTACAGTAGATTTCAAGAGGCTAGGATCATGAATGTTCCCATCTTAATAACAAATTTCTGATGAGCTACATAATGTACACAGGGGTACAGACATCACTTGGTACCTCACTGTTATGTACAGTTTTAGGTATGTTTAAATTTCTTAATTTTCAATTAAATAAAAGACAAAAAGTACCATACAAAATAGGAAACAACCAATGATTTAAACTTGACTATATTAGTATTTCTAATTATGAATACTAATGGTGACACCATTTTGCTTAAGATAAAATTAATTTTGTCGAACAAAAAATCATTAATCAAAAATTGAGTTTCTTTGCCTGGTTACTATTTTCTTTTTTCTTCTTCTTTTTTTTTTCTTTTCTTTTCTTTCTTTTTTTTTTTTTTTTTTTGTGGAACCAGGGATTGAACTCAGGCCCTTGTGCTTGCTGGGGAAGCACTTATTCCACCGAGCCATCTCCCCGGCTCCTTTTTTTAATGTTTTTTGTTTTTGTTTTTGTTTTTTTTTCCAGAACCGGGGATTGAACTCAGGCCCTTGCTCTTGCCAGGCAAGCACTTATTCTACTGAGCCATCTCTCTGGCCCTACTATTTTCTTAAAAGTCAAAAGCACAGAAATTATTAGTTATAGAAAAGCAATCGAAACTATGCATCTTTCTATTCAACCCACAACCACTTAGAAATAGCAACAATCAAAAGATATCCTGCATTTAAAGAGACAAGGTAAAGAAATGTGGGAAATCTATAAAGGATGACCTGAGATACTTTTCTAGGACACAATGAATCCTGATTTTAAGGATAATGAAATATTCATCAACAGATTACTTCTAGAGCTTGAAACAGAAATTATGAAAATGTCAAGCCAGCTCACTAAAGCCATGAGAATGCCATTTCCAGTGTAGCTGCTTTTGCACAAACATATACACAAATGCCAGGCTAAAAAACATTGTGTTATAACTGGGGCAGTTAAAATACTGAAGTGCTCAGCATGGCACACATCACCTGTAAAACCAGCCCTTGGGAACCTAAGAGGATCACAGCGTTCAAGGCCAGCCTGAGCTACACAGTGAGACCCTGTCTCAAAATACAAAACAAAAAAACAAAAAAAAAAAGTATTTTTGAGATGCTTCCCCCTGGATTCAAACTACAGATTAACAATGAAATATTATTTTCAGTCTTTCTATTCATCATTTCCATTCACATTCTATTTATATTCAGATATATAGATACCATTAAGGAAACACACAGGTCAAGTCACTCAGTTTTAGTAATTCTGTACTTTATTTTAATCTGAACACGTTAATTCTGTTTAAAAAGAACCAAGGTCATCGAACTTCCCATTTAGAACATTGTGAATCAAAGTCTGCTGTACCCCAAACCCTCACAAAGCAGACCTTTATAATGAAGTGACAGGCAAATACATGTACATACAACAGCCCAATTACGGCCAAGCATTGGTCTTTCAGAAAGATCTCTGTGGCCAGCAAGAGCAGATGAGGAAATAAAAGAATGGGACTGAAGTTTTCTGAGACCCTCCTTCTCATCTGTGAATAAAGCCACCCCACAAGGCATAAGATACTCTACCCCAGCTTCATCTGAACTTCCACTTTCTTACGAGGGTCATAGGAATCTTTTGAAATCTTCTGCAACAAATCTCTTCTTCCCTGTTCTTACAAAGCAAAAATAGCTAAGAGAATTTCTCAGTGGGAATTCCTTCTACCCAACCAGGATCAGAGCTTACCTTTAGAATGCCGCTCTGTAAGAAGCTAGGATTTTCTCTTTTAATACAAGTTCAACATTAAGAAGATAGTGAAGTCATTCTCTCACAATCTCAGGCCAACCTTAGATAAATTAAGGCAAAAAGAAGTGATAGAGATCTACTTTAACCCTGCCCAGGCAAAGCAGGTTATTCAGGAAATCTCAATAATCAAACTGGTGCTCAGGGTCCTCTCCAAAATGGTCACAAGGAATGTGTTATCTAGATTGCTTAAATCACCATAGGTCTACCTAGACCAAGCTTTCCAGTTCCAGGACGAACTCACCATTCATTAGCTCTAGGAATAGGTACAAAACTTGTCACTATTTCAAATTTTCCTGCCTGCCTTTATAAATCCCCAGAGAATTGGGGCAGCAATGGACCACACTTATACTGGGATGAGATGGAGGAAATATATGTAACTCCTTTTAGAGTTACACGTACTCGTATCTCTACACTGGGAGGCTAAATCAAAATAAAAATAAATCTTGTGGTAAAAGATTTTCACCACTTTCCCAACTTTTGTGCCTCATTCCTATCCCCTTCCCCAATTCCCTTCATGTACACACTACCAAAAGATGCTGTCCCAACACTGGTGGTGTTCCTAGGGCTCAAGGATAAAGCAGCATTAAGGGCATTTGGCAGAAAATCCCATTCCACAAGACTCCTCTGCATTCAACACAGTGAAGAAATGATAATGTAAAAGAAAGGGCAGGAAAAATCAGAGCCCGCCCTTTCCTACACAACAGAGGCACAGAGATTTTTGGAGTCACTGAAAACAGTATCATCATCTCTTGCCCGAGGGCCACCAGCTACCACTGCTTGGGAGCCGCATTATCACTTGTTTCTCTTCTGGACTAAAGTGCAAAATAGTCAGGATGGCTGTGAGGGTCTGCTGGCGCCCCAAGCTGTCAGGTAAGGTCAGGAAACGGTAGATGATGTTTTTAAGGTACTCCAGGTTGGCGCCCTCTCTACTCTGGTCCCTGATGTTTTTTTCAATGTGGCTCTGCAGGGCCCCAACTTCCTCACGATGCCGCTCCCTCTCCTCCAGTAGTCGGTCCTGGAGCTGGTGCACCTCCACCTCCAGCCTGTGTTTCTGCTTCCTCAATGATGTGATCTCCACCTCCTTGCGAGCCAACTGCTCAGCATACAAAAAAAAAGTGGGCTCATTGGCCACAGCAAGCTGCAGTGCTTGGGTTAGGCTATCTGGGGAAGATGTGTCGGCCGGATCCCTAGGACCCCCACTACCCACAGGGCTTCTGCGACCAGACAGCCCAGAGGACAAGGCCACGGAACGCAATTGCTCCAGCTCCAAATCCTTCTCAGTGAGCACAGCCAGGGCTCGGTCCCGCTGCTTGTGCAGCTCCTCTTCCAGTTTCAGTGTTCGGTCTCTGAAGTCTAGCTGGCTGCGCTCCAGCTCTTGCCGGTGAAGCTGCTGCAGCTGGGCCAGCTCCTGCTTCCAGTCCTCAGCCTCCTGCTGGTGCTGACGCTCAAGCTCCTCACAGAACAGCCGAAGAGAGATGTACTTCTCCTTAAGCTCTGCAAGCTGCTCCTGTGCTGCCTCCAGCTCCTTTGCCAGGTTCCCATCTTTGGTATTCTTGTTCTTGAGCACAACCTGGGCCCTCATCTTGTAACGCTCAAACTCTTCCTTTAGCTGTTTCAGCTCCTGTTGGTAATAGAGTGCAGTAGCTTTTTCCCCATCTGCAGCCTCTGAGCTGGCCATTATCTCCAAATCACAGAGCTTCTCCACATCCAGGGTCACCTGGCTTTTCCTGACTGCGACCTGCAGCAGCCTCTTCAGCTTTTCCATCTTATCCTTCAAGACATTGACATCCAGACTGGATTCATCTCCATGACTTTCGAGAGAAGATCGGCTGGAGGCTGCAAGAGCCAGTGTCTTGTTCTCCAGATCCAGCTGCAGAATGCGCTCCTTTAGTTTCTGGATGGTCAGCTGGTCCTTCTGCTTGGCTTTCTCATAGGTGCCCAGCAGTTCAGACACTTCAGATATTTGATTTTCTAAGGCTGCAACCCTCTGCTCTTCTACCTGAGATTGCTGGCGGAGCTGATCCTCTGCAAGGGCTGTCTACAAAACAAAGGAACAGACAAAAAATGAATTCAGAAAAGTCACAAAGCCCCACAGCAAGCTTTGGGGATCAGGGAGCAAGGGTCACAGTATAGTACTGGGACTTAGGGAACTCAAAATGTTCACTAATAAGCTCCTTTATATATCTGTTATTATTCTACTTTAGTTTTCCAGAGCTCAAATATAAATTGTTCCTGTTGTCTATCACATACTTCCCCCAAATCCTATTAAGAAATTTTATAACACTCTTTTCTAATATTCCTAGAAATTCAAAACCAAGTTAATTTCCCACTACAGCAAAAGGAGACACTACAAAACATTTTTCTAAAACAAGCAAATCTTGACTGAAAGCAATCCAATAGTATAGATCACTCCACCTACAGATACAACCACAATTACTATGCTTTACAGTACACATCTGGTAAGATTTCAATGCCCAGAGGCTCACAGCCCTCTTGCTCAGATCCAGCCACACTCTGAAACTCCACCTCCTGTTGGAAGGACTCTCTCTACATACTGTTAACACTGTGCATAACAGGATTTCCCAGGACTCAATTTTCAGATTTATCAAAAGGGGGACGGGAAAACATTTACTATTTCCCACTTTGGGCTAAATGACTATTGTTTGTAGGAAACATGGATAATTACCTTTCTTATTTCCTGCTGCAACTGAGCCTGGAAATGACTCTTAAGGCAGGCAGCCTCTTCTTGAAGCTCTTGCAAACGAGGATCTGGCTGATTCTTCTCATCTCGAATGGCTTGTAACTCACCTTTCAGCTCCTCTACTTCACGAGTCAGCTGCTTGGTCTGCAGTTCAAACCCTTCCATCTGATCAGCTGCATATGCCCGCCCTGCCAGGGCTTCTCGGGTCTCTTCTAACTTAAGCTCCAAGTCCTGGCGTTGGGTCCTCTCCTCCTGCAGCAGCTTCTGCAGCTCACGCAGCATCAAGGCATGGTCACTCTGCTCTTGGGCCCGATCATGCTGTTGTGTGATAAGTCGGGCTTTGGTTTCTGCTATTTGCTCCTGCAGCCCCTTCACTTCTCCCTCAAAGCGGCCCCTCTCTTCCTCTGCCTTTTTATTGGCCTCCTCTAAATCCTGTTTCATCTTCTTCTTATCAGCCAGGTAAGAAGCCTCCATGCGTGACTTTTCCTGCGTGACGGTTGCCAAAGAGCTTGTCAAAGTAGCCAACTGGGTCTTCAGCTGGTGCAGTCTTTTGTCCACCTCACCACCTACAAACGATCCATCACCACTGCTACTGCTGACGCCACTCTCTGACCCACTAGCCTCTTCGGACTTCGGAGGTGGTACTCCACGGGCCACTCTGTCATCTTCTACACCAAGCTCACCCTTGGTGCTGGTGAGACTGGCTGCAGTATCCAAGCTAGTGGCGGTCCCGGTGCTATCCTCGCTATAAGTGGAGCAGCGATCATCCACAGAGTCAGAAAAGGTGAGACCTGAAGACTGGACACCTGCGAGGCCCACATCCGCCTCGTGGGACACCGACAGCACCTTGATGCTGGCCTCCAGAGCCTCCTTCTCCTTAAGCAAACTTTTGTAGGCGCGGACCACATCCTTGAGCCGAGCCTGGTACTGGAGAAGCTGCTTCTTCTGCGTCTCTATGGTCTCCAGCAGGTCTTTCTTGCTCGGGCCGCCGCCAAAATTCATCCCAAACTTCTCCATGGAGAATCCAAGCGGGCTCCTCCACGTCAGAGTTCTGGCAGCCCAGGAGAGGCGTGCGGAGGCGAGGATCTGGAAGCAACGCGAGGAGACCTATCGGCCGCGGAACACACACTCCTGATCCCAACGGTCAGAGAGCCGATGCAGGGCAGGTGACAGCCTGGCCGAATCTCCTGCAGGGTGCCAGGCCCAGAACGACGAACCAGTCCTACCCCGGAGGCGGAGCGACACTAGCCGGAGAGAAATATACAGAGCCAAGACTCCTCCGCACTGGTCCAGAAGCGGCTCCACCCTCTCCGGCCACAGCAACCGGGCCGGCCCCCTCGGCCCACATTCGCCAAGCGCTTAAACTGAACTCAGTCCCATCACTATTTCCTAACTACCGCCGGCCAGCAAGGCGCTTCCGGGTCCGCCGGAAGTGACGCACATGCCGCCACAGGCTCCGCCCCCTGGAGAGCGGGAGGCCGGAGCTGCTTCTGCAGCTGGGGGGAGGGCTAGTGTAGAACTCCGCAGGGCTTCCCGCTGTACTCACAGCTTAGGAAAGAGTGGAGCATCTGCAGTGTGGGGCACTGAGTGCTGGTGTGGCAAGCTGTTGTCGGGCTACATGAGTGAGGGCTGGAGGGTGGCGACGTTACACGGCGTTCCTCGCAAATATCCGGGTGAGACGTGTCCAACTGTTTGGAATTCATGACCTATGTCCCTAAAGGACGATGGCTAAGACTATTTAGACCAAGGAAAACTGCAGCCCTTTTGAGCGCGGCACTTAATACTTCATTCACATTATAGCGTTATAGTTGGTTCCTCTCTTCAGTTCTGTTTAGTTGCTTAGTGAGTAACCATGAGATCCATCCTAAATGCCAGCAACATGCCAGAAGCCTCACAAGTTCTGCTAGTCTACAAAATTCTGTTCAGAGTGTCATTAACGCTGTTTTATAGACGTGGGAACAAAAGTCACAGGAAAGTTAAGTAATAGGTCGAAGGTCGCACAACTAGTAATTGTAAGCGCAGTCTGACTTTCAATATGCTAAGTAAGAAATATACTAATGATACTACCAGTGAGAGACATGGCTCTGACCTCAACAAGCTCACAGTCTAGTAAAAAAAATCAGCCATTAAGAAAGAAAAGACCCCGTTTTCATACCAGTATGCATAGGTATATTCAAAGTGAAGTGGAAAAGGAAGGAAGGCCTGTCTAGGAAAGGCACAGAGGATCTCAGGGAAAAATATTTTGGGATTTTGAAGAATGAGTAATGATTGCCTGTCTAAGTAGAAATGAAGAAAACCAGCATTCCAGGCAAGTGGAAAAGATTGCAATGAGGGCTGGCGAGGTAGCTCAGCAGACTAAGCGCCTGCTTAGGCAAGTGCAGGGACAGGGGTTTGATCCTCTGCACCATAGGCTATGCCAGCCCTGCCCCCTGATGCACTGAGCTGGCCACCAAGATCAGGTGTGATGGAGCACACCTGTAATCTTAGCGCTGGGAAGGCTAAAAACAGGAGGATCACTGAGTCTGAGCTACGAAGTTAGAAGTGTAGTGAGGCCCTGTGTCAAATACATTTAAAAAAATAAAGGACTTCTAGGTATCAGAGAACCTGACTCATCCAGGAAACGTAAGAATAATCTCAAGGAAATATTTTAGGTTACAGAAAAAAGGTGACAATAGATAGACCTTTCTAGCCTGGCATGGTGGCACAGGCCCATAATCCCAGAATTTGGGAGGCTGAGGTAGGAGGATCATTGAGAGATCTAGAGCACCTCTGGGCTGCAAAGTAAGCTCAAGGCCAGCCTGAACTGCATAATGAGACCCTGTCTCAAAAAGACAAAGATAGGCCTACCACAATAGGCAGGGACCCAATTTAAACATTTAAATTTTATCCTGGGTGACAGTAAAAAACTAAAGGATTTGAACTTCAAGGGGTAGGGGTATCATGAAGTCTTGTATTAAGGATATACCTAAGGACAGATGACCTGTAAGGAGTCTTTTTCAGTCATGGAAAGAGATGGTCACGAAACAGGGTAGTGGCAACAGGGATGGAGAAAGAGCTGATAAGAGCTTAAGATGGTGACTGCTAGCTCTGTTATTATATTGGGAATCTTTTAAATGTACTTTTCAACCTTGTAGAAGCCTTAGGAAAGTAACTGTGACCAAGGAATAAAGTCAGACACACCTGGTTCCAAATGCCTTTTCTATTAGACTTTGCTGGACAGGATGGAGCAAGCTCTGAAGTTCTGTTTAGACCAACTTCCTTAATAGCCCAGCTAGTATCCAAATGTGATGTACAAAACATTTACTGGCATTGTCACTTCATTTTAATCTTCACTGTAACCCTGGAGTTAGAACAAGTGTAAGTTCTCTTTTATAAATCAGAAAATGAAGGTGTGTGGAGATTGAAGCCAAATCCTAAAAAAAAATAATGGAAGAAGTGATATTTAGCTTAAGGCCTTGTTATGGTTTGTTTCTAGTTGTCCCCCAAAGCCTCATACAGTCATGGGGTAGCTTCTGGAGTTTGTGATTGATTCTTGATCAATGGGTGTGAGTAGGATTATGGGTGTGAGTGCCCTGAGGCAGATACTCTGCATCACAATGTAAGGAGGAGAGAGAGGCCAGCTAGCTGCCCCTCCCTTTTTTGGCTCTGCTTTTTGCACCACCATGGAAGGACGTCCTCTGCCATGTGCTGCTCTGCCTTGGAGCCAGCTGAGTATGGACTGAAACCTCCAGTAACTGTGAGCTAAATAAACCTTTCCTTCCTTACTTTGTGTGTTGGGTATTTGTCCCAGCAACAGTAACTGAGACAGGCCTATAACACACTTATTGAGTAAAGGCTTTTAAATTCCCAGCTCAGCCCACCTCTACTCCATAAGTAATTGATTCTAGAAACCCACTGGGAATCCAAACTAGACCTATCCCATTCAGTCCTGTTCTACCCAATATGCATTCGTTAAGCTATTTTAGATGCCCAACATCAACCCACCCACTTTCCACCACAGAAGAAATATACATTAATTCCCATCCAACTACTCTCCTCCAATGCTAAAATGACAGAGATTACATGTGAAGCTCTGAAGATCCAGGGAGACAAAACTCTCAGGAAATCGTGGATAGGCATGCACTGATAATCCAGGTCTTACTCCAGAACGAATGGCTATTATCAAGAAATCAAATAATAACTGGTGAAGACTTCAGGGAAAAAGGAACCCGTATACGTTGTTGATAGGAATCTACAGTATAACTGGAAATCAGTACAGACACTCAACTGAAACTAGACATTCCAATTGACTCAGCTGTTCCTTTTCTAGATATCTCCCCAAAAGTTAAAAGACATATTTCAGAAATACATGCATACTCATATTTCTAGCAGCACAGTTCATAATAGTTAAAGCTTGGAAGCATCCTGTATGACCAGCAACAGATGAATGGGTAAAGAAAATGTAGTATTTATACCATGGAGTACTACTCTACCATAAAGTAGGAAAAAAATGAGTTATCTTTAGGTACCTAGATGTATCTTAAGACCATAATATTAAGTGAAATAAATCAGACACACAAGCTGAAGAATCACATGGTTTCTATTATATGAGAAACCAAAAATATAAGGAGCAAAAATTAAAAATAGGGAGATTTTTTTTTTCAAGTAGAAAGGGGACCATGAAAGGAGAAAGGGAGGGGAAAGAGAGGAAATGAAAAAAAGAATTGAGATGTGTTATGTACATGTGCCAGCTCCACAGAAGGAATGTAATCACTATGAACACACATGTACTAATAATAAAATGGAACAAAATCCAGATCTGCAAGCCTGTGACAAGGAACTTTAGAAACACTGCCTCGCTGGAATCCAACAGGCGCCGCTCCTAGGGAGATGGAGAGGAAGGCAGAGTTCTCCAGGAGCCCAGGAGTGAGTCAGTGACCTCTCTAGCCGCGGTTGGGAGTCCTGCCCCTCGTTCTTCTGACGCGGGTATGAAAAGGGCGTTTTAAGTAACTAAGGAAACCAGCCTCGGTATCTTCCCTCTCTGGCACACCACTGGAGCGATTCCATCACTTAGCGAAGTCCTCAGCGGGAACCCAAGGAGCAAAAGACAAAACTAGGACCCCTACAGGCGCCCCTAAGCTGGGTGCTGCGCACAGTTGCTACCGCAGATCCCGGATCTAAGCCCTCCGTCCTCCCCAGGCCCGCAGCTCGGCGGCCACAGGCCTGACTGGCTGGCCAGAGACGCGGAGCGGCCCGCCCCCGTCGCCCCGCCCCTCCGCGCGCCCCAGCCGGGCCGCGGAGCCTCGCTCGGCTTCAGTTTGCCCCGCACCCGAGCGGAGCCCGAGCCCGGGGGCGGGGCCGCGTGACGTCGGGCGGCCGGGACGCGCGGAGGCGGCGGCGGCCCCGGCACCTCCCCCTTCTCTGCTGCGCCCCATCCCCCAGCGGCCGGCCCGTTCCAGCCCGCATCCCGCGTCCGTGCCCGCGCCCCCGCCCTCGGGCCCCGCCATGGGCCTCACGGTGTCCGCGCTGTTTTCGCGGATCTTCGGGAAGAAGCAGATGCGGATCCTCATGGGTGAGGCAGATCGAGCCCGCGGCCCGTACTGGGCCGCCGGCCCCGGCGCAGCCCTTCCGCCCCCGCATCCCTCCAGCCCAGCTCACCTGGCTCTCGGACCCAAGCTGCCACCTCCTAACCTCCGGGCCCCTGCTCTCCCGAAGGCCCGGGTCTGCGGCGCATTCCCGGGCCTGAAACCTGGAGCTGCAGGCCTGGGTGGGGTGAGCTCCCTCCTCCCCAGTCCCACTGCTTAGAAGGGAGGATTCCGCCCTTGGAGATGACTTTTAAAAGGAACGCGGCCTTCCTCCCTAGCCCCTCGGCTCGCAGGCCTCTCCCGTCCCTCGCCCACTTCGGGGGTAGGAGTTGGCGGCGCCGTGCCCGCACCCCTCCGGCCCCGAAGGTGGAGAACAGCGCGCACCTGGAGGCTCTGGGGCTCTCCGCCCCCCGCCCCGCCGCCTGGCCTGGCGTCTCCGGGTCCCTGGTCTCTAGAGGGCTCCCTCGCTCCCGTCTCCATTCCGGTGTCATTCTCATTTGCAGTTGGCTTGGATGCTGCTGGCAAGACTACGATCCTCTACAAACTGAAGTTGGGGGAGATTGTCACCACCATCCCCACCATAGGTGAGCCCTGGGGGAAGCAGGGAGGAGCGGAAGAGCCGCCGCGGGCCTTTTCAGTCCAGGTCAGCAACCAGTCCTGCCCAAGCCCTTATCTGGAGCTGACCGTGACACCAGATATCTCTACTGGTGAAGTGGGTCACAGTATCTCTATGTGCTGGGAGGCGGGGTGGATGTGGCCTAACCCCAACTGTTGATCGCTGATCTCCCCAAAGCCCCTGCTGCAATCGAAATACTTGGTGAGTTTCTTCCTTTAAGGGCATTTTCTCCTATTTTTCCCCCAAATGATCTGCAGGCTTCAATGTGGAAACAGTGGAATATAAGAACATCTGTTTCACAGTCTGGGATGTGGGAGGCCAGGACAAGATTCGGCCTCTTTGGCGGCACTACTTCCAGAACACTCAGGTGAAGTGTGAGGGGGACTCCTCAGCTCCGGGAGGAGGTGCTAGGGCTAGGAAGACAGAGTCATTGGCCAAGGAGCCCCCTCCTGCCCCTTCCCTGCTTTGCTTGGCCAGCCACTGCCTGGCCTTCACAGCTCACCTTAGACTCTTCGGAGTCTTAGCCACCTTAGGCGTCCCTTGGGAAGCTGTCTTCTGGGACCACCCTGCCTGATTGAGCTCTCAAGTATCTTTCTCTGGTCCTTGTGTATCTGTCAGGTAGATTGCTTCTTTGTGGGTAGAGGCTGTGCCTTTTGTCGTGGTGTCTTTATACCTGTAGTTTGCACAGAACCATCAAGGAAGTTTGCTAAATAAAGGGCTGTCACAGTTGAAGATGAGAGGTATCACCAGGTTAGGGTAGTGGCTAGGTGGGAGTGATTGCCTCTCCTTCCCTTCTTCCTCTCCACCCAGGGCCTCATCTTTGTGGTGGATAGTAATGACCGCGAGCGGGTCCAGGAATCTGCTGATGAACTCCAGAAGATGGTGAGTACCCATGTTCTTACAGGTAAGCCTGCAAGGTGGAGTCAGATCTGTGTGGTGGTGTGGGACTCAGGGAACTCCCCATAGGTGTGGAAGGTGGGGAGCATGGATTTCTTTGTCGACCCAAGACATTTGGTGTTTCTCACCCTGTTTGGTGTTTCTCATCCTGTTTGGGATAGGGCTGACTTTTCCATGGGTTCTCATGCCTTTATATCCAAGTCTGAAAAGTTGGTAGAGAAAGAGGAATTATATGTGATAGAAAAAAAAAATGATACCTCATATACATGCTTTTTCTACTCAGAAATTTTGTCATTTTTGCCTGGAGCAAGTTCTCAAATGTAAGGACTCTTTTTCTAAACTTTAAGGTTTAGGTCAGTGATGGTGAACCTTTTAGAGCTTTCAGTGACAGTAAACTGCCCACTGCTGCATGTGTGCCATGGGTTCACCACTACAGGCTAAGATGACCTCAAGCTCACTTAAACTCTCTTTTGTGTTCAGCAATAGATTACATACTGAATGTTCACTAGAAAGAAAATAGAAGGTGAGGGGGCTCTCCAGCACAGCATCTGGAAGGGAGCCTGAGGACCCCCAGCAACCATAGTTTCTACCTTCTCATTCCCTCTCAGCTCCAGGAGGACGAGCTGCGGGATGCCGTGCTGCTAGTATTTGCCAACAAGCAAGACATGCCCAACGCCATGCCCGTGAGTGAGCTGACCGACAAGCTGGGGCTACAGCACTTGCGCAGCCGCACGGTGAGGGTGCTATCCTTTCACAGTAGGCCCTTCCTGTCCCAGAAGAGCCACACACAGGCTGGGCTAGACATAAAGACACCTAAAGACTCCCTCTTTCTCCCTGCTGCTGATGTTTTCTTTCTTCCTGCAGTGGTACGTCCAGGCCACCTGTGCAACTCAAGGCACAGGCCTGTATGATGGGCTGGACTGGCTGTCCCATGAGCTGTCAAAGCGCTAGCCAACCAGGGGCAGGCCCCTGCTGCCCACAAGCTCCTGCGTGCATCCCGGGGATGACAAGACTCCCGGACTCCTCAGGCAGTGCCCTTGCCTCCTCCACTCTTCCTCCCCACAGACAGGCCTCTGCTCCTGCTCCTGCCTGCATGTTCTCTCTGTTGTTGGAGCCCGGAGCCCTGCTCTCTGGGCATAGAGGAGTCCACCCTCCTGCCTGCTGGGACCTGTGGAAAGGCTTCCTGGCCAAAGCCTCCTTTTCCAGAAGAGGAGCAGGGATCTGGGTTTACTTTTGTTCTTTTCTGTTTTAGCTGTACCTTTGGGGCCAGGTTTTGGGGGGGAAAGTGAGGGCTGTGGGTGGTGCTATGATGTGAAACTGGATATTGAATAATAAATTTGCTGTGGTTTGTACTCAGTGTTGTCTGTGGGCTGGAAGCCAGAGGCTGGATTTATGGGGTGCCAGGAAGCAACATGGGAGAGAGTTAAAGCAGTGGAGGCTGTAAGACCAACATACATGTGCATACACACCCTCATCCAGTCCAGCTTTTCCCTTTCTGTTCTTAAGCTAGAAATCTTGAAGGGTGAGGGGGTCAGTTGCTATTTCCTAGGAATGTAAGTAAAGTATAACAGGATGTAGTTTTATGGTTCCATAAGCAATATATTTTCCATCCTAGCTACATAAAGTAGTGGTTCTTCATCATTTTGTGTTTGCACACAGGGAGGGATATGTATTTAAAGTGTGTATTCTGTGTACATTACACAAAGTGATTCTTCAGAACTAGTCTGAGGCCCAACAATACACATTTTACAAATTTCCCAAATGAACTGGCTATAGTCAGGATCTTTTAGTCTTGTTTTACAAAACCCTAGTGAAGCCGTAGGATTGCCATTTATTACAGGGCACTACTGGGACTCTACGTAAGAGGGCCCACCCCATCTTTAGGAATGAGAAAGTGCATATGTAAGGAACCAGGGCCAGGGACTAACCATTTCTATTAGGATCCCAGCAAAAATGAAGTAAAGCTTATCATCACCACCATCATTGCTTTTTGTCTTCTTTGCTCTTTCATGTCTGTGGCCTGGGTTTTCTCATGCCTTACAAGAAGTGTCCCAAAGACCACTGGCAAGCCTTCTTGAAACAAAAAAGAGCTCCAGCGAGCCAGCTGACCTCCCCACCAGCAATACAGCCAGCGGCTCTCTCCACCCAAGCTATTCACTGTGAGCCTGAGCCAGCCCTTTCCAATTAATGAGTCATTTCATTTTTGTGATTATTTAGGATTTCCTCCTGAGATACTCTGACCATTTTCTCAAGGGTCTATAAGCTGATTGATTTTTCTTGGATATCTTGAGCTGAAAAAAAAAAATGCTTGTGCCCAAGGGAGCCAGGCAGAATCCATTTCCTTGGGAGGAAGTAGATTGATATCTATCCTATTAATGAGAAACAGGCAAAAAGAAGGACATGCCTAAAGTCACAGGCTGGCATTCTGATTTCCAGTCTTAACTCAGCTTACCTTGTTGCCTGGAGTGACCAGAGGATCTGGGCACACTGCCTCTGGGCCATGCACTGTGGTGCTGCACTGGTGGGATAAAAGGTGACCCTCTCAGTCATAATGCTACCGGGTCACAGAGGTGCTTGGCTCTAGGCCACCCTCTGCCTAGGAAGTTCCCTGTGGGAACATCATCTGGTGGGTACTACAGGCTTTATTCTGGTCCCTATGGCCTGTGGGACCTCACCAGTGGGGGGAAGGCTGGGTGGGACAGAGGCATCACCTGTGGTACCGGTCCCATGGATGAGGTGGAGTGGATGCACAGACACCCAAAGGCTGAGGACCTAAGAATTGGGCTCATCAGCTGGGCAGGAACCTACCTCACCTTTGAAGCATATAAGAATACAGTCACAGCTAATGCAAAGAGTTTGGGCAGGAGACAGGTAACAAGCAAACCCATATGAAACCAGCTTTCTGAGTGTGTGGTGTGTGTGGCAGTGGGGTGCACTCTCAAACTGATCACTTTCCTCACCCTTACCATTCCCAAGCCAAGATGTTTCTACTCCAGTTTTCTAAACTTACCACCAAAGTGAAACCTCAGCCCTAGCTTGGTTTTACTCTGTTCAGACTGCTACCTACGCTCTATGCCTAGACGGGGTTGGCGGGGGAAGGTTGTGTCATCACAAAGAGGAAATTGGAAGGCACAACCAGGGCATCTAGGGGAAGTTGAACCAACTGGACCATAGTGCAAGGGCCTATGTTTCTGTTCTAATAATAATTTGAGAATGGTGTATTCTAGAAGCTCTTGCAAACTTGCATGTCTGGAATGGGCTCCAGAGCAAGGAAGAAGCAAAGTCCTCTTCCTGATGACACAAACTGGCTACAGCATACCAGACACTGACACCTCAGCAGCTTGTCTCATTCAGCTCCTGTCTTCATTCCTGGAGCCAGGCCTGATTTGAAGATCTCTTGCTTTTCTCCTGCTCTGCTGGGAAGAAGGCCTCTGGGAATGAAAGTATTATTGGCTGAATGTTCTGTCCAGGGGCAAGTAAGGACAAGAGTCAAGCCTTTCTTGGAAGCTTTTCTTGGAAAATTAGGTCTTGAAGGATGGGATCAAGGAGAGTAAAAAGTTGGGGAGCATGGGCATCTGAAAGTTTTCTTTGGATCTTGAGGAGTCCAATGGCTCCTATGGTGGAGCATCCTAGAGATCTTTTCCTTGCTGTCAATTGGGAAAATGGGCAAGCTGATAGCAAGGGAGATGCCAGGGTACAAGAAGAGGGTAAGATGTGGCTTTGGTAAAGTACAGGGGCCATGGCTGTAGGTTTCCTCCCTCTAGTCACTTGGCCACAACTATTTCCCTCTTTCCCTCCTGATCTTTCAGATCTGGGACCTCCTGGTGAGCAATGAGCAGGAGACACAGGCCGTGGTAAGACTAAGGAGCCTGAAAGGCCTCTATCTTCTGTGTGAGGCGGATGGCTCCATGTGCCATGGCCAGCCGAGGACCAGTCACCACGGATGCTTCCTACTGCGATTCCACCGGAATGGCAAGTGGACTCTCCAGTGCATCATTTCTGGACGTTATCTGGAATCTGATGGCGAGGACGTGTTCTGCAACTCCCGGGTCCTCTCAGCTTACCACATGTGGACCCCCCGGCCAGCCCTGCATGTCCACGTGACCCTCTATAGTCCCATCTACCACACCTATGCCCGGGCTGACCACAGTATGGGGCGCATCTGGGTGGATGCAGCAGTGCCTTGTGTGGAGGAATGTGGCTTCCTGTTGCATTTTCAAGATGGATGCTATCACCTGGAGACCTCTACACACCACTTCTTGTCCCGTGTAGATCGGCTAGCCTCCCAACTCTCATCGAAGACGGCTTTTCACATGCAAGTGAGGCCCAGGGGGCTTGTGGCACTATGTGATGGAGAAGGAGGCACCTTATATCCACAGGGCTCACACCTGCTCCTGGGCCTCGGCTCCAGTCCCACAAGGGGCACAGAGTGGTTCATCTTACGACACTTCCCTACCTGGGTCAGCCTCAGGTCAAAGGCTCGGAAGTTCATCTCAGTCCTCTATGGCAAGTTCTAGGTCAACAAAAGCTATGAAGGGAGGAAGGGCTGGCAACAGGAAAGAGGAAATTGTGTCTGAAACTATCAAGGGAGTTTTTGTTTTGGTCTCGGGGGAGAGGGGCTGGCCTTGAACTCATAGTGATCTTCCTGTCTCAGCCTCCTGGATGCTGGGATCATAGGTGTGTGTCACCATCCAAGGGTTTTTGAACCCATTCAAGAGGAAAATCCTGGAGTCCCAAGGGGATCTCTTGTGCAGTGGAGGAGAGATAATCAGGGATATGACCTGTGGGGAAAAGTTACCCTGTTCTCCAGACTACTGTGGCCCTATGATGAAGGTTGAAGAGAAAAAAAGAGGACAATGAAGGTGTGGTCGAGTGGAGTTCTGCTGACTGATACTTTCTCTGCAGGAGCTGAGGTGTGTGCTACCTCTGAACGCTTGACACCAATGTGCTTGTTCCAGTTTGAGTGTGACAGTGAGAGTCCCACTCTGCAGCTTCGTTCAAACAACGGCTGCTACTTAGCCCAGGTAAGACTTTGGCTCTCAGAACAAGAAACCATAAATGCTGAGCTCTCTTTCTAGACACTCCCTTCTCCTGCCGCAAGACTGATGAGAAAGAAGATAATGAAGCAAGGCCTTGGTCAACAAGCATTCGTTTTCCCCAGTGGAGCCTCTTCTAAAAAAATCAACTTTATTGCAGCATAAATTGGATATATGTACTTTATATAAAATACATATATATGAGGCATGGAATACAAATATGTAAATTGCATATGGTTATTGTAGGAATAAATTGCCTCCACTTTTAGTGTAAAATTCAGCACAGTTAACAAATGTGTGCCTATGAAGCCATGCTACAGGCATACACAGGCATACAAGTTAGAGAATATTTCCTCTACCATAAAAGATTCCCTCCTGAGCCCTCACAGTCAATTTCTCTCTTGACCTTTCTTCATACTCTTCCTCACACATCTCCCATCTGTGTTCTGCTATTATGGATTAGAATTTCAGGGAAATGGACTCCCACAGTGTATATACTTTTTGTGAGTATGTTAAGCTTTTTCTATGATGTTCTATGTATCAGTAGTTCATTCCTTTTTACTACTGCACATATTCTCCCACACAGTTCATAAACATAAACAAAACATTTTATCCATTCACCTCTTGAGGAATACTTGTGATATTTCCACTTTGGGGTATTGAAAGTAGTTATGAACATATTTGTACAAGTCTTATAGTGAATCTATATATTTATTTATCTTGGCTAAACACCTAGCAGTAGAATTACTATGTTGTATGATGATAGATAGGCTCTCAGTTTCATAAGAAAACGTCAAACAGTTTTCTAAAGTCAATATACCATTCTATATTTTTGCCAGTACTGCCTCAGGGTTTTAACTGTTCTGTATTCTCACCAACATTTCATATTGTCTTTTTAACTGAAGTCAGTGTAATGGGTATTTAGTAATACCTTCTTATTAAGGCTTTTAGTTACATTTACATTATAATTTGTCATTTAAACTATCTCTTTCTATGTTCATTGGTCACTTGCATATCTTCTCTGTAAGGTGTCTGTTGAAATCTTTGCCTGTTTCTTATCGGGATGTTTTATTAATAAGTTGTAAGAGGGGCTGGAGAGATGGCTCAGTGGTCTAAAGCACCTACTTAGAACAAGCTTAGCAAAAAGCATCAGGGACCGCGGTTCAATCCCCCAGCACCACATGCCAGCCAGCCCTGCCCCCTGGTGGGCTGAGCTGGCCTCTCTCTCTCTCTCTCTCTCTCTCTCTCTCAAATAAATAAATAAATAAAAATTAAAAAAAAAAAATAAGTTGTAAGAAATTTTGGTATGTTCTAAATTCTTGTCTTTGCCAAATATATTCGCAGTGTACAAGTTTCCTCCCAATCTGTGGCCTATCTTTCATTTACTTTGGTGAAACAAGTTTTTAACTTTGATTAAATCCAATTTGCCAAATTTCAAAATTCTTACTTCTTGTTTTTGTCCCAAAAAATCATTGCCTACCCTAAGAGTAGCCAACAATTTATCTTATATTTTCTTCTAAACATTTTGTAGTTTATCTTTCACTTTTATATCTGTTACCCACTTCAAAATGACCTTGGGGTCAGGGTCAATCATCATTTTTCACCTATGATAGTCTGGTTCTTTTTTTTATCTTGGCCTTTGGCAGACAGCACAGACTAGGGACATAGAGAATCAGAGACTATAATGTGCTAAAAGATCTAAAGCAAAAACCCTACTCTGGTAGAATGACAGAGGCTGAGTGGCAGGGGATGTAAGTCCAGGCACAAAAATGATGGAAAACTGAGATTGTCCTTTCCTCTGCTGCATTCCCAATTCTCTTCAGAGGCCCCACAGAGCAGTGATGGCTGATGGCCACCCAATGGAGTCTGATACCTTCTTCCGTGTGCACTGGAACTGTGGAAAGATCATCCTGCAATCCTCCAATGGGCGCTTTCTGAGCATTGCACCCAATGGTCTACTAATAGCTAATACCACCAGCCCAGGTGAGCTATGGATCCCTCCTGTCAGCTTATTCCAAGCCATAGATGCTTTCCAAAGGAGGTGAACTATGATTTACTTCTAAAAAGGCACTGGAACCACTGCAGTTAGGGGTCAGAATATTTAGGTCTGCACATATACTCAATCAATGAGTTTTCCTTGTTACCAGACCAAACAACCTCTTTGAGTTTCAGTTTTGTTGTCTATAAAGATGAAGGTACTTGGCAGGCCAAATAGCTCAGCAGATTAAAGCACCTGCTTAGGCAGATACAGGGGTCAGAGGTTCAATCCCCGGGCCTGCGATGCTAGCCCAGCCCCCGGGGCATGCTGAGACAGGGATTGAGACTGGGTATGTTTGTGTGCACCTGTAATCTCAGCACTTGGGAGGTTGTAAATAGGAGGGTCACTATGAGTCTGATCTACCTAGTGAGACCCTGTGCTAAATGCAAAAAACAAAAAACAAAATAAAGGAAAAAAAGAAGATGAAGGTGTTATCTCTACTTTGCTATCTCATAGAATGGTTGTGAGGATTAAATAGGTTATCTCAAATGAAAGAAGAATATTAAAATTTAGGGGGGCTAGATGCTTTCACAAGCACCTAGCATTAATTCCTAATATATAGCAGGAAATGTTTAAACATTTAATGTTTGTTAAATGTTAAAATATTGAAAACAAGGGCCAATGAAATAGCTCTGTGGACTCATGGTTAGATACCAGGCACCACATGGCACACCAGCCCTGCCCCTGGGCACACTGAGCTGTTCACTGAGACCAGGTGTGGTGGTGCATGCCTGTAATCTCAGTGCAGAAGAGGCTGAAAACAAGAGGATCACTGCAAGTCAGCTGCAGAGTGGAGACCCTGTACCAAAAATATATCACCCATCTGAAATTAGTGTTCCCTTCCTACTTTCAAATGGGAAAGAATCTAGAGAAAGTCCATCCAGGTAACTCCTTCCTATTTCTTTCAGGCCCAAATGAGGAACTGGCTATTCGATTTGCCAACCGCCCTTTCCTTGTATTGCGAGGTCGGTATGGCTATGTGGGCTCCACATCAGAACGAGACCTGATCCAGTGCAATATGGATCAGCCTGACTGCATTCAGCTCCTTCCCTGCCGCCAGGGCATCTACCACTTCCAGGGTGAGTGGCTCCTCTTCCCCATCCTAGAGTTCGCAGTCTAGTCATTGTCTTACCTTTAGCCATACAGGGAAGACAGGAACTTAATTTTCACATTTTAAGGCTCCAGAATGGGTTGGCAGAAAGGATGCAGTGAGATCCCTGTTAGTCCCCTATGTTTTGGTAGAAGGACTTGCTAACACAGGCTAGAGCAGCTGGGAGAGGAGGGGACCCCAGGAAACCTCCTCAGAGGCTTCACTGCTAGAAGACTCCCTCCGATGAGACCACCAACCTGAGCTCTTCTCTCCCCAGCACAGGGCGGATCATTCTGGTCAATAACATCCTTTGGCACCTTCCGCCCTTGGGGAAAGTTTGCACTCAACTTCTGCGTAGAACTTCAGGGCAGCAACTTGCTCACGGTGCTGGCACCCAACGGCTTCTACATGCGAGCCGACAGAAGCGGCACCCTACTTGCAGACAGCGAGGACATTACCAAAGAGTGTATCTGGGAATTTTAGGTAAGGAGGAGTAAGTGAAGGCCTAGAGGCAGGGGGCAGGGAGCAGGACCAGTAGATGAGAGATGGTTTGGGAGGTACATGACAGAAAAAATAAATGCATGTCCAGGCTGACTCTGTCCAAGATTTGATCAACTCCAGACATTCTTTCCAAATCTGTGTTATTCCGCGTGGGCTTCTACACTTGGACTTGCTAGAGAGGGGAGAAAAGGCACATCTGTGTAACATACTATTATGTCACACTAAAAGAGGTTACAGAGTGAAGTGTGCTTGCCTGTCTCTTTTTTTTTCTTTTCAAAGTTTTATTGATAAACAGATAGCAATGAGACAGTTTCAAATCAAATCGAAAGTACAGTTTCAACAAATAATACACTGCATATATTCTTTTTAGTGGTTAATTGCTGTACAAGATGCAGACTTGTGATCCTACTTACAAACACCATTAGAAAAAATCATTCTATTCATTAAGAGAATGCAACTCTATATCTATCCCAACCACTTTGAATACACAGATACAAAATGGACATTCATAGTTATACCCCAATTTTTTTTAAGTTCCATTGTTGAATATTATAGGTCTGTAAACTCAGCAAAATATTCTAAAAGAGTCCAGTAGCCCACAATAGCATTGGGTCTTCTGTTTAACTGGCAATGTCAGAAATTATTGACTCAATTCGCCAATTAAGAGAAATAGACTGGCACAGTGGATTAGGAAACAAAATCCAACAATATGCTGTATACAAGAAACACATTTAACTCATAAAGACATTCATAGGCTGAAAGTCAAAGGATGGAACACAATACTACATGCCCCAGCACCTCAGAAAAAAGCTGGGGTAGCAATTCTATTCTCAGACAGTCTCAGCTTCAAGCCAACAATGATCAAGCAAAATAAAGAAGGCCACTATATACTGGTTAGGGGAAAAATTCAAGAGGAAGAGGTAACACTCATAAATATGTTTGCTTGTCTCTTTTAATAGCTAGAATTCTACCCCATCATAGGATATGGCTGACTTTGGGGATGCACATGGGTGAGAAGATAGGTGCTTTCTATCCTATGTACTTTCCATTTTTACCAAGTCCTGATCCTTAAGTCACCTCCATAATATCAGTTCCTCAAAATCAGCATAGCTAAAATCTACCCCCTCATTCTCTCCTCCTAAAGGCAGTTACTTCTTTAGACGTCTCCTCTCTTCCTTCTTAGTTGCTCAGACTCAAGACTTCACCATCATCTCTTTATCCTCCCTTTTCTTCCCTTTATCAAACTCTGTGTATTATACTTTCTCATCAATCGTGAGTGCTTGCTTCTTCATAGTTACCACTGCTGCTGGCTGTGGTGGTGCATACCAATAATCCCAGCACTCAGGAGGCCGAGACAGAAAAAGATTGCTGTGAGTTTAAGGCCAGCCTGAAATACCTAGCAATACCCTTCCAACCCAAAATAAATAAATAAATAAATAAATAAATAAATAAATAAACTAAGTACCATTGCTGTTCTAACCTTTTCACCAAAAGCAGCAGTTCCTGCCCCTAGATCTGGCCCCATCCAATCTCTTCTCCACACTAAATTTACCTTTTATTTTTTGAGAGAGTGTCTCACTATGTAGGTGAGGCTGGCCTTGAACTCACTATATATTCTAGGCTGACCTCAAACTCACATGAATCCCCCTGCCTCAGCCTGCTGAGATTACAGGCATGTACCACCATGCCTGACAAGTTTGCCTTTCTAACATGTCGCTTCTGTGTTACTCTCTGTTCACAACTCTTCAGGGAGCATTACTGGTCTTTTGTTCTTTGTCTCCCCCTTCTCATTTGGCCTAACTTTCCAATTGTAGTTTTCTAGTTTAGAAAGTCACCAAGACAGTGTAGGAAGTCTTCAATCCAAATAGCAGGCAGAATTGGATTCAAGAGCAAGTAAGCTAACCAACTAGATCTAGTGGCCTTAAAAAATTACTTCCACATTTCAAGACCTTGGTTTCCTTATCTGAAAAATGGGAACAACAGTTGCTTTACAGATTGTCAAGTTAAATGTCAGTCTGAATCTAAATATAGATCCTCAATAAGTGTTCACTCTCTCCCCATTTGCTACTAGTCTTCACAAAACTCATTACTATAATCAAACTGAGAAAAATAAAATGAAATTGCACTGGACTTCAGTGATCTTGTTTATTTCATGAATAGTTTGAATTGAAATAAATTTCTCAGGCTCCTTCCAAGCCTGATGTCCCAGTACACAATAGTGGTTAAGAGCTTATTCCTAATTTCAAATGTGGGCTTTACTTGGGTTTTCATCAGTTAAACTTTGTTCTTTGGCCTTGGGCAAGTAAATTTTTCAAAGCCTATTTCTCATGGATCAATTAGGAATACGTATTGACACTGTAAACTTGTTGTGAAGCTTACATAGGAAAATGAATTTCAGATGCTTGGTGAAAGCCTGCACCTAAAACATTCTCATTCTATCTGAAGTCTTCTCTAATCCACTTTGATTCTTAGTAACCAGGCATACATCAATAGTAGAGCAGGCACTGGGGGATGTAGCTCAGTGGTACCCATTGATTTAGCATGTGTGAGACCTTGCATTCAATCCCTAGCTCCAAAGCCAAATGAAATGACAAATTCTTACTAAACTGTCTTTCCTATTTACTACAACCTTCCTTGAGAACTCTGATGGGAGGGATTTTTTGAACCATTATTAAAAATAATTGTTTTTGCTTTTTCTAATGAATTAACTTCATATATACCTAGTGTTTATTCCTCACCGCAAATGTGATGAATCATTTTATACTCTTTCTTGCCACAGGCTCTTAGCCAGTCCTCCTAAAAGCCTGGAATGAGAAAATTACTGATCACTAAATGTTCGTTTTTCCTCTTCCCTCTCCAGATCAGTGGGACACCATGTGCCAAACTCCAAATCCTCCTGGAAAAACAGCAGCACAGAACAGCACAGGAGGCCCCAGAGTCAAGATCCAAGAGAAGAATATCTGTTACACAACTTTTCCTACCCAGTTTAGCAAAACACCCGTTTTAAGCAACAATACATCACAACAGGCCACCCCCAAGATTTTTGTGTGCATTTGACTCAGTAGAGAGTATGGGCCGCCTGAGGGTGGGCGCTGCATTCCCAGGCAGTGTAAGTTCTGTCCAGGCAAAAGGAGACCAAATGGCAACCAGTTCTCCTGTTCATTCCCCACATCTTTACCCAGAATCACTTGGTTATCAACAACAACACAGAAACCAGCCCTGTGTTGAAGGATTCAGAATCCATATATAACTTTAAATGTTCTTTTGGTTCAGAATAAATTTAGGAGGATTTTTAATCATAATCATCAGAGCAAAGGATGATGATAATATCACCATATTCCTATACTTTCATTTCTATGGCATTACCTTTAATCCAGGAAAATGGGCAGAACATTACTCCTTTCACTAGTTCTCACCTTGTACAAAGAGCCAAAGTGAGTCATTCACCCATGATCGCATGACTAAGCACGGTAGAGCTGAGCCTGTAACTCAGGTATTCTGCCTTTCATGTCCACCATTCTCCTGTCAAAACAGTGTTTCCAACAATGTCTGTCTTTTTGGCACTGTCTAAATGACATTGGCAAGAAGAAATACAAATAGAAAGGAATAATACAGGTAAAAGGAAAGCAAGATCTCAAGGACTAACTAATCAAGAGAGGGAAAGGAGAAGAGATAGGAAACATGACATGTCAAGCCATACAGTTATATGTAGAAGATGGGCAAGGCAATGATCCTGAGAATCTTCAGAAGATTTTTGAAGCTAGCAGTTAATTGGAAAGATTCTCAACTGACTAACTATATATACTGATACCTGTGAAATAAGCAACTGCACTGCAGATGGTAATCTGTATTAGTAGTTTCATGCTTGAAGTGCCTGTCATTCTGGTCTTCTGAATACGGGCTGCTTGTCATGACATGTCAGTTGCTGCTGTGCTGTCTCTTGGGTAGATGGTTGTTCAAACAGAAGGAGGTGGTGAATGAAGGCAAGAGACAGGAAAAGGAATATTGTGGGAGTGTCCTGCTTCAAGGTTGCATATGGTTAGATTTTTGGACTTCTGTGTAAACATAAGAAGTATATAATTCTTTATGCCAATTTTTACAATATATTCTAATTTTTAAATTTTTTTATCATATTCTGTAGGGACTTAAAGTTCAACATATCAATACTTGATGAAAAATACCTGTTCCATGTTATGTCTAAGATGTTTGATATTCAGACAGATAGTGAGGTTAAGTTTAACAGCCTAGGTTGTATGGTAATAACAATAAGCTTGTCTTCTGGATGGTTAACAACCTAAGTTTGCAAACCAAAACTAGAGAAAAAAGAGTACCGCTAGGAAAGCCAACATTTTGGTCCTAGCCTTCCAAGGTCAATTAAGACTCAGGACATATGAGAACTTGTACTGTAATGTCATGTAACTCAGTAGTGTCCCAAATTTTCTGATCAAGGAGATTATGGGGCCAAAGAGGAAAGTGATCAATGATGTAGAGTGTGCCTAAGGAGAGTCACTTGGAGAGAAAACATTCTCTCTGGCTTTCACAGAAAGCACATTGGCCAAGCAATGGCCATGACTCATCCACGTGGCTGACACTGACAAAGGTTCTACTGTTTGAGGTACAGGATCTCAGAATAAATCCTGAGGGGATTTCACTGACCTTATGAGACCCAAAAGCTACAACTCTTGTTGCATAGGTCCTGCTCCACCTTGGTCTTAACCATCCAGCAGAAAAGTATAAAAACGAAATATAAGAAATAAAGCTATGCTGTTATGTCGAGCTGTGGTGGACTCAGGTCAACAATTTCTGACATTGCCAGTCAAGCAGAAGACCCAATACTACTATGGGCTACTGGACTCTTTTGGAATATATTGCTGAGTTTACACACCTATAAAATTCAAATGACAGAACTTAATAAAAAAGGGGATACAGGTGAATGTCCATTTTGTATCTGTGTATTCAAAGTGGTTAGGTTAGATATATAGTTACATTCTCTTAATGAATAGAGGGATTTGTTCTAATGGTGTTTGTAAATAGGATATCATGTCCAAATCTTGTCCAGCAATTAACCACTAGGAAGAATGTATGCAATGTGTTAATTATTGAAACTGTCCTACCAATTTGGTTTGAAGCTGTCTCATTGCTATTTGTTTCTCAATAAAATTATGGAAAAAAATGACTTTGGCCTTTACCTACCCTATTAATGTTTTCACTGAACTACACTCTTGATGACATTCATTTAGAAAAGAATATTGTAGCAATAACAGAGGCAAAGGGTGGGAAGGAGGAGAAGGGGAATGAGAGGAATAAAAATGTGCCATGTACAGGATCCTAATAACCCCAATTCATGTAAACACAAGATGGAGTAACATGAGCTAAGGCAATCTCAACCAGAACCAAGAAAAGGGGATAGGGGAACTGGAAGCAGGGAGAAGGGAGGAAAGAAGGAGAGGATTCAAAAAAAGAAACAAGCTATAATATGTACACATAACCACTCCTCAAGATGATTGTAAAGTGCACAAATTGCATACATACTAATATAATTTTAAAATTATTAAAGAATATTATATTAATTTTATAAAGCAATAAAACCACAATCACTTGCCATAGAAAATCAACTATAAAAATAAATACCATGAAAATAAAGCAATGTTATCAAATCCTTATTAGATCTCCCTTCTTTGCCCTAGGCTCCCTTTCCCTTTGAGAAGAACTTTTTTTTCCTTTGGTACTTCAGCCTGCCTTAAGGGTGGGTCTGGTGCAGCTTCTGGAGCTGGGAATCGAACCAGGGTCATGTACACCTGGCTGCATTTGCACAAGCAGCGCTTTAAACAACTGAGCTATCTGGCAAGATCCTCCCTTTCCCTTTGGTAATGAAAGAGATTAACAACTATGGAGGAGAAGCCAAATGAACCAAAACGATATTTTCTCCTCATGCAATCGGAATTCAAAGAGAATAGAAAAGGGAATAATTTTCTCACATCTGACTCACTATTATCTGAAACAGCAGCCACATGCCTCCCAAAATGTTCCCAAACACCACGGCAGCAGCTCCCGAATGCCATCGTGACTGCCTGGTTTGTGCATCCGCTGAAGGAACACGGCTGAAAGCAAAAGATGAGAAACTCCATTTGGATAAAGGAAAATGACCCTTTCTGTAAATATATTTCTCCTCAAGACCCATAAAAGAAATTAATGTTTTAAATGTAATAGGTAAATGTAAAATTCTAGAGAACAAACAGCCTTAAGCACAGGCCGATGTCGGCCGGGGTGGCAGGCATCTGTAGTCCCAGCCACTTTGGACAGGAAAGCAGAAGATCCCTTAGGCCCAGAAGTTCCAGGCTGCTCTAGATGATGCAGTGCGACCTTCCTAAAATAAAGTCCTGAGGCCCGGTGAGTGTTTGGGAGAGCTTCTGGCTACCCTGCGTCTGTGGGACCTATGTGTCCCAGCCCAGGTGGAGTGTGGGTGAGACCCTCTTCCACTCCCTTGGGACAGCCCCCACCACAGCGCAGCATCTCCCCCAACCAGCCCGCAGAATAGGAATTTCTGCCTCGTTCTGGGAATCCCCAGACCCGGTCCTAGCCCAGGCCCAGTGAGTGTGTGGGAGAGCTTCCAGCTACCCTGCTCCGGAGGGACCTACTGGTACCAACCCAGGTGCAGAGTGGATGAGACCCTCCTCCACACCTTTGGGATGCCCCCCACCACTCCGCACCTCCTCCCCTACCCTGCCTACCCAGTAGGAATTTCTGCCACATTCCGGG